GATCTCTAACTCTAGAGTAGCTGGGATTACAGGTGTGAACCATGTGACATCTAGCTTAAAGATGTTTTTTAGTTTCCTCTTTGAAACCTTTAAGCTGCCATAGTAAAAACCTTGAAGAAAACTTTTAGATATATCAAATATTTAAGCACTTTGTGAAAAATAAGTAAATCTATTAGTTCACTTGAATTATCATCTTATTAATAATAATGGATAAATTTACAGCAATTACTTATCCAATATGCTCTCACAATATACTTCCTCCTCTCCCCAGACCTGAGATTAAGACATGGTATTTTTTTCCTGGTAGCACTTTGTTCTTTATTTTTTTAACGTATTTTATTATTATTGTAGAAGTAATGTACAGAGGGGTACAGTTACATAAGCCATGTATTGATGACGTTTCTTTTTGAACCATGTCACCCCTTCCTTTGCTTTCTCACAATTTTTCCCTCCCATCTCCACCCACAGGTTGTATAGTTCATTTTCCATACAGTGTCTAGTGAGTATAACTGCTGTATTTGTTTACCATTTTTCCCATCTTTCCCATGAACCTTTACCCACCTAGCCACTTGTTCTTTAGATTAAAAAACTAAAAGTAGATATCTTCCATAATTACCTGATAAATTTGCTTCCTGAGGGACACACAGAGGTTGTCTATAATTAGTCAATAAAAGAATAAAATAAGCTCTTAACATGCAATAATACCATCCAAATAAATATTAAGAGAACAAATATCATTGTATATCAGATTCTGAGCTCAAAAGAACTTCTGAATCTCAGTATTTTATTACAGTAATAAGTTCCAGTCAGCTAAAAAAAAAATCTGTGCTTTCAGTTAGTTAGTCTATGCATTCATAGCAGGAGATTTACTCTTGTTATCATTTTTTATGTGTGCTTCATCATTACTGATTTCTATAATCAGAACTACAAGTCACTCACTTCTGACTTGACTGGAAAGGAAGATGTAAAAGTGAAAGTGGTTTGAAAGAATGACTGCTTCTCCTGAAGGGCAGGTGAGGGTTCAGTGACCTGTGGGCACATTGGTTCATTCTTGTGAATCACTGCTTTGGGGAGGTGAAAGACCCTGTGGCTCATAAAACTTGATGATATTAAGAAGAGGGAAAGAATTCACACTTGAGGTGTCAGGGTCACTGGAAGAAATACAGTTTTAAAAATTCAAGTGTGAGAAAAAAATACTATATTTAAAAATGAATTGCTAATGTTTTCTTCTTTTAAAAAGTATTGTGGAAAACCCATATCATACAGATGTTCATTACTTATTCAATGTACACCACTGGGAGATAAATAGAACTGTTAGAATACAAAAGTGCCAAGGGTAATTCAACCACCGCAGTCTAAGTGTGTATAACTGATTTGCCGTGACATACAATTTTCTAAAAGCTATTCTGTTAGAAGGCAATAAATGAGTAATAAATGATTTACACTCTTTTGGACCATGGTTATTATTCAGTATTTTATTTTTAAAAATATATATACACCCTATACTATTATGTTTATTCTCTAGAGTATAATAAAAACATAATTGAATTTGATGAAAAATAGACTTGATTCTAAATGTGGTGTATAGCACATACAGAGACCCTCTTATTATATCCCTTGTGAAGATCAATGGTCACTTGAGGTGGTTCTGGCTGCAGGTTTCTTTTAATATATGGGCAATAAAATATTTTTAATTTAGAAATTATATCCTTCTATTCCATACTGAATTTTATTTTTAATAATAATGCCTGAATTTCAACCTAAAGCATAATTTATGAATGTAAAATACAATATTTTAATCATTGTTATATTTTTAAATATGATTTTTTTATTGACCGAGTAGAGTAGGAAATTAAGTTTAGCGAATAAAAACAAAGTAAAAACAATAGTTTAGTGATTCCCTTTGTTCTGATATAGCCTAAAGGCCATTGTGAAGAGAAAAATTAATTTTTTAAAAGAATTTCCAGTGGGTATAGTTGTGTAAACCTGTGTAATTCCAGCTACTCAGGAGGTGGAGATCAGATCAATCAGATTGCAGTTTATTCCCAGCCTAGGCAATAACGAAGCTCCATCTCAATAAACAAGACATGTGCACAGTTGTGATCCCAGTTAAGCAAGAGGCATAGGTATGAGGACTGTATTCAAGGTTAGCCCCAAGCAAAAACAAGCCCTAATTTGAAAAATAAAAGTAAAAAAAGATTGGAAGTATGGCTCTAATGAGACCCTGAGAGATGGTGGTGTGTATGTGTATGTATGTATGTGCACATATATGTGCGTATATAAAACACCATCTCTCAAATTGAGATAAGTGATGTGTGTGTGTGTGTGTGTGTGTGTGTGCACGAACGCACGCGTGCGAGCTAGTCCTAGGGCTTCAACTCAGGGTCTAAGCTTTATTGCTAAAGGCTAACATTCTACCACACTTGAGCTACAGCTCCATCTCTGGATTTTTGGTAGTTAATTAGAGATAAGAGTCTCATGGACTTTCTTGCTCAGGCTGGCTTCAAACCACAATCCTCAGATATCAGTCTACTGAATAAACAGCATTACAGATGTGAGCCACTAACATCCAACAAAGTAAGTGATTTGATAATCTATTTAAGTGAATAGTATTTACATTTATAAGGTCTTTACTTAGGAAATTCAGTTTTATCTATATATAACACAAAATTATATAAATACATCATTACAGTAAAGTCATACAGTCATTTTAAATTTATGTGTAATGTCCTTTAATATCAAATATATACTCACAACAGTATAGGGTAAAGTCGCTTATATGCTATCTTTAAATTGTATATATGTGTATATGCATGCATGCTAAACATATGCAAACATACATAGCATATATACATATACACATATATACAATTTTATGTAGGTATGTTAAACAAGAAAATGAAACAAAAATAAGTTCAATTCTCCTACTAATATTCAGAGTAAATATTTTCCTCTTCTCCTTTCTCATAAAGCATTTGCCTTAGAAAAAACTTAATTGCAAGTATTTTCCTCTCTTTGGCATGTATGCCTTGGAAAAGTAGATATGCCTTGTCAGCTATGTGGCCCAGAAGTGTCCTTCTCAAGAATCTGGCAGCTAAGATTTTTGAAATAGAAATAAATAGCAATAGCAATAGCTCCCTCAGTTCCAGTTGAAATGATAGGAGCCTATCTTCAGTGAGCGTTTTGTTCCAATTTACCAAACTCCCTCCTGCAAAAGGATATGAGAAGTTTGTTTCTCATGTTAGCTAACACAAGTTGTCTCCCCAAATCCACAGTAAAGTTAGAATGTTCTATGTGTGACAAAATGCACAATCAAGTCTTCTTACTTGAGTATCAAATTGTTTGTCCTGGAATATTTGTCAGCTTGGCTCTCTAAGGTGGTAAGATCTCTCAGCCTGGTCTAAAGTTCTGATTGCCTGTCATACACATTCTATTCTAGGGTCCTCAATAAAAATAATTGCTTTCCTTCTCTACTAATTACATGAAGAAGACTTCTGAGAATGAAGATGTTTTTGTGTTTAATTTTAACTCAATAATTTGCTCTCTTTCTAATGTATTTGTGCCCACTCATGATAAAGAATCAACAGTTTTCTCATGTAATCTGGAAGAAAACTGCTGTGGGAACATTTCACACACTTGATTCACTTTCTTTGAACCAATTAAGCATACCTTAAAGAAGGAAATAATACACTTTAAAGAGTAAATGCATCATTAAACAATAGAATTTTTAATGTGGTGTACACATATGTAACCCAGATCCAGTAGATTAGAACTTTTGAACAAAATGATTCAAATAAGTGAATAGCTTGATTATAAAGACAACATCTTTTCTAGTTAAGAACATGGAATAAATGGAAAACCACTATGTTATATCTAATTCGGACAGTATTTTGTAACATAATTTTTGGGGTACAATTCATGAAGTCCTTAGACTCTTATTTTAGTGAGAGAAAAGAACTCAAAATGAAAAATGTCATGCAAAATAGTTTTTGTTTTATTTTAAATTTACTTTTATTGTAAAAGTGATGTACAAAGGATTATGGTTACATAATTCAGCAAAGAGTACATTTATTTTTGAGCAATGTCACCCCTTCCCTGGCTCTCTTTCTGTTTTTCCCTCCCGTCACTAACCACAAGTTCATTTTCAACATAGTGTATAGTATTACTATTGTGTTTGTTCACCCTTTGTCCCAATATTTCTGTGCCTTCTTTTACCTTCCCAAGACAGATTAAAAAAAAAAGATGATAGGCAATGAAAACAAAAACAGCAACAAAGAATGGAAAAAACCCTCTAGTTCCATTTCTTGGAATTCATTTCTATAAATATTATTTTATATGATCATATACACATAGCTATTGCCCCTGTGTGATCCTCTTAGAAGAATATCCTCCTTTGGTCTCACTGTGTGAATGCCTAGAGACCTGTTTAGTTTATCATGTACCCATGTGTTTTTTCAAAATACGATTTTTGTTGTTGATATTTGAACCAAGTCTTGTTTATTATTTAGCCAATGATAACCTGGAACTTACAAACAACCTACTTTGATCTCCTCAATTCTAGATTATAGACTTTTGCCACTAATACCTGGCTCTAAAATCGTTCATTTTTAATGTTCTGTTTTCAGCAACTCAGCAATGGTGACCTTATACTACCATTTTAATACCTTAATTTCATTTTAAATTCTGTGGTTATCATTTAAGCCACAATGCTTATCTCTAAACAAATAAATGAAAATCTAGGATGACAGTATTTCATGTAATCAACTATAATGTATCTACTTTATGATGATGCTCATATTTTCTACTCCTTAAAAATATTAATCAGATAAAGCAAGTATGTTAAATTTTAAGAAAAGGATGATAAACAGTATTTTTCATAAAAGGAAATGATAATTAAATCCCAAAATTATATTAGAGCAGGCAACCTTTAAAACACATTAGGTAAATTTCCCATGGATGAAATGTGAAAGTACTTGTTTTAAATAAATAGTAGTATTTACCTTGCAGCATTTTGTTCGATCTGTTCATCAATGTCACTGAAAATCTGCTTAAACTCCAAGTCTCCAGGGAATGAGTCTAACAAACATTGTAGGTCAAAGGAATTATGGGAATATTCGTCTACCCAATCCATTCTGAGGAACAAGAATAAATAATAAAACATGTCAGTTCCCCCCCAAATAGGGGGAAAAAAGGAAAATCATCTCAAGTTGTGACAGTAAATAATACAAATAATAATTTCCATTTACAGACACAATGAATTATAGATGTAAAAAAATCAAAGTATTATTAAAGATTGGAGTATTTTGTTATATAATTGTCATGAGGTGTGACTTAAGTTTCACACTTCTCTGTGGTATGAAAGCTGAACCACAAACCAGCCACCCCATCCAAGAGTATCAGTAAGCATCTTGCTGCTTACTGTAAGCAAGAATGACAGAGGAAATTGAAACACACAGAAATCACTGTAAACACAGCTGAATGCAGCAGAAAGTCACACTTTTCTCCATCCTTCTCAATATTCTCATCTGGAAATTGTAGCCTTAAATTTTCTAAGCCCATTCTCCTTGGGCCTATTTTAATGTAAAAGGGGAAAATTATATAAAGGTTCCCCTAGCAATGCCTTGAAAAACCTCAGTGTATACTTCTCCTTAAGGCATAGACCTAAGGCTCTCAGTGTCAATGTTTCAAATTCATTCATTCAGTATTTATTTAATGTTTGCTTAGTAACAGGCACTACTCTAAAAGCTCAGATATAGCTGCAGAAAGCCAAAAACCCTTGCTTTTATTTAGTTTTTGCTCCAGAGGGAGGAAAGACTTTTTTTTTAAATTTAATTTAATTTTATTTGTGAACATACTGTACAGAGGGGTTACAATTACATGGGCAGGATAATGCGTATATTTCTTACCAAGCATGAGGAAAGACTTTTAACTCATGATTTGAAGCCAGACTGAAGCAGGAAAAGTTTGGGAGACATTTATGTCCAATTAACTACCCAAAAAGTCAGAAGTAGAGCTGTGGCTCAAGTGGCATTGCATTAGTCTTGAGCACTAAAGCTCAAGCCCCAGGACCAGCATGTGCATGCGTGCGCGCACACACACACACACACACACACACACACACACTACACACTACACACACACACACACACACACACACACACACAGAGTTATTCTGTGATATTTTTATGTTGAATGTATATTTATACCTTTTATTGATATTGGTTCTGGGGTGAAATAATAATGACTGAAACATTATTTAGCATTCAGATAAGGCTGCTGATCATGATTTTAGTTTCCCTATCTAACATGGTATATGACTTTTTTGTTGCTGTTGGTGGTGGTTGTGGGACTTGAACTCTGGCCTGGGTACTGTCCTTGAGCTCTTCAGCTCAAAGTGAACGCTCTACCACTTGATCCACAGCGCCACTTCCAGTTTTCTGGTGGCTTATTGGAGATAAGAGTCTCAGAGACTTTCCTGCCTAAGATGGCTTTGAACTGTGATCCGCAGATCTCAGCCTTCGAGTAGTTAGGATTATAGGCGTGAGCCACTGGCACTCGGTATATAACTTTTTAAGTCTAACTTCGGTATGGAAAATAATCAACAAACACCAAAAATGTAAGAAATGTAGGCTGACAATAGTACTAAAGAATTCAAATGATGACGTTTCAGAGTTTTAATGTGAGCTGACTAAATCTGTGGATACTTCCATATCTATGATTAATTTCATAGGTGAAACAAAAGTCATCTAGTGCCAGCTAGATTATGATGCTTTATCATAAGCTAAGGTAAAACCTGCCAGCAAAATAGAGTTTGGTGATACATGCCTATAATCCCAGCTATCCAGAAGGCAGAGGTAGGAGAATCATGGTCTGAGGTCAAACCCAGGTAAAATGGGAGACACTGTCTGAAAAACTGAAGCTGAAAGGGACCTGGTAGTAGAACACCTGCCTGACAAAGGCTTTGAATTCTATCTCCAGTGCTATTAAAAAGAAAAAAAACACACAAAAATCACTAAAAAGATAAGCAAATAAGCCTGAGTTAAATAGGAAGGCATAGGACTAAAATGGCAGAAAAAGAAAGGGCAGTGGCTGATGCAACAGTTGATGCTAATGCTAATGTTTGGAGAGAGATTTTTGTGTTACCAGGACAGTGATTCAACATGTACAAGAGGGGACCCAGGGTTCAATCACCACTATTGTCTGAGTAGAGATAGTAACAACAGTGAGAAAAAAAAAAAACACAAAAAAGCTTTAAAACTTTCTGTATTTTTAATCAGTTTTTTTCTGTAAGATGTAAAAAAGTTTTCAATCTAGTATTAACAGCCAATCTAATAATAAATATTGCTTTCTAAAATGATTAAAGAGTTTTGCTTGAAAAATTATATCAAAGACAAACATTTGTAAAGCATTTTAGCTCTGGGAAAAATTACATTATAAAATTTATAACCATTGAGTTATAAATTCCCCAAAACAGTGACTGCAAGAAAAAATTAATATAGTATAAACACTACCAAAAAACATTATAAAAGCAGTTTTAAAATGCCATATGTGATTTTAAAAAGTCTGAAAGCTTACTTGCCCTTTGCCATATTTTTTATGTGTATTTATTTATACTGGTGCTGTGATTTGAACTCAGGGCCTGGCCACTGTCCCTGAACTTCTGTACTCAAGGCCAGTGCTCTAGCATTTTAACTACAGATCTATTCAGGCTTTCTGGTGGTTAACTGGACATAGGAGTCCCACAGACTTTCCTGCCTGCGCTAGCTTTTTACCACAATCCTCAGACCTCAGCCCCCTGAATAGCTAGAATTACAAGGCTGAGCCACTAGCACCCAGTCAATATTTTAATTAATTTATTTTAACCAATCCTGAGGCTTGAACTGAGGGCCTGGGCACTGTCCCTGAGCTTCTTTTTGCTCAGGGCTAGCACTCTACCACTTGAGCCACAGTGCCACTGCCAGCTTTTTCTGTTTGTGATACTAAAGAATCGAACCCAAGACTTCATGCATGCTAGGCAAGTACTCCACCACAAAGCCACATTCTCAGTCCCCAGTCAATATTTTGAAATAAGGATAGAAATCCTTAAAAAAAAAAAAAAAGAACAGAAATCCTTCAGTCATTTTATTTAAACTTACACAATATCAAGAATTCTTATTTTACTTTTTTTGTTATTTCTTCAGTAATAAAACTTACAATTTCCACTTCTATATGCCAAACCAATACTTGCTTAAAAAGGAATAAAAGATGAAGGAAGGAAACAAACAAACAAAAATCAATTAAAAAGACAAACAACAACAACAACAACAAAAACAACACTGGGAAGAAATCCACCCTGAAATGGAGTAAGAAAAAAAGAGAAATATTAGGAGCAAGTAATGTAATCTCTTTGGAAAAGCCTGGTGAGAAACTTCACATGCCTCCTTAGATTTGCAAACAAACTGACATCAATGTGTCTACTAGCCCTAGCCCTATGAAGTCAGGCATTCATTATCAGTGTCTAACTCAGAACACTGTTAATATGCATGACAATGAAATAGTATATTGTGATGAATTAACAGTAACAGCATTCAATTAATAATCAGGAGATGTAAGGCTTGCTCTTGGTTCTGCTAATGTAAGTAACCTTGGAAAGATAACTCAAATCTCTTTAGAAGAAAAGCCATCATGTTTCTTATCTCTAGAATGAAGTGGGTAGATTTATTATGCTTTAATGATTCTGCTAGTTATCTATTTGTTGTATTCTGTAAGGGGTGGTGGTAAGAGGACACATATCTAAGAGCCACAATGGACCTATTTTGTTAAATACCATCATTTTTCCTTTGTATTCTCAAAACTTTTTAAAAAGGGTCTCATATTACCTAAGTTGGATTTGAGCTCCTAGGCTACCCTCCTGCCGTAGTCTCTCGAGTAGTTGAGGCTCCAAGCATGCACCACTCATGCCTGCTACAGAGTTTTTTGAGCTTTTTAAAATTACATATTGTGTGTGTGTGTGTGTGTGTGTGTGTGTGTGTGTGTGTGGATGGGTGTTGGGTATGTCTGAATGTGGTGTGCTGGTACTAGGGCTTGAACTCGGGTCCTTGTGTGTTCACAAAGCTCTTTGATTTACAGCTGGTATTTTACTACTTGAGCCACACCTCTAATTCTGAAGTTTTGCTGGTTAGAGAGTCTCTAGGATTTGTCTGCTCTGGCTGGCTTTGAATCATGATCTTATGTTCTCAGCCTCCAAAGTAGCTAGGATTAGAGGCACCTGGCACCTGCCTCATATTATTCTATAGTAAACATTTTAAATTCATAAGTATTAACTTTTAACCTCTCCAGGCTGTCTGGCTGCAAAGTTTAATATGTCAAATGATTTCTTTTCAAAACAAAAGTTAACTTTTCATAGAAAAATTTGATTTATTCTATTAAATGACAAACTTCAATATTTAGAGAATATAAGATATGCTTAGACTTAGCTCAGCCTTTCTCAGGAAATGCGAGATATGTCTCACTTTTCAGTATTTATAAGAAGTCATGGTTAGCTTTGTAATTTTTGATCAGCATCAATTACATATACAGGGACTTTATCTGGACATAACCATATACTTATGCATATAATGTACCTTGATGAGACTTACCCCTCTTTCACTCTCCTTCATCCCCCTCTTCTTTCCAAATAAATCCCAACCAGTTTTATTATTATTTTCACACATGTACATAAAGTATATTAACCATATTCCCCCTTCTATACCATCCCCATTCATTTTCCCCTCCTCCTATTAGCACCCACACTACAGGATGTTGCGCATTCCTGTCAGTCTTTAAGGTGTGTACTATTTGGTCATTATATATTTTCCACATGGAAAGACTGTACTTTAATTGATTCCTTTACTTTTACTTTCCCCATCTCCATTTCGCCATTCAAGAACTTTCAGTGAGTCTAATTTTGCTATCTACATTCATAGATGTTCTGTATGTTCACACAGCATTGTTCACTTTTTCTCTTTCCCTTTCCCCATCCTTAGTTCCCTCTAACACTATCTATCTATCTATCTATCTATCTATCTATCTATCTATCTGATCCTCTTGTGTTCATATATCTATTTCTCTTTTAAGACTAGCATCCATATGATTAAAAAATGCCTAGCTATTG